CCCCCTCTCCCCACGGTGGGGGGAGGGGTAGCCAAACGCGGGCCAGCCAGTGGCTCAGCAGCGAAGCAGTGCTTTGTGACCTCGGGCCCACATGGGGAGGTCCCGGGCTCATACCCCAAGGCCTTGTATATGTTGGCATGTGTGCCTGTGATCCCAGCTGGCTGAGGTTGGGTGGGCTGTGACATGAAGACCCTGTTGAGGGGGTCAGTTTCTCTCTTCCTCTCTCTGCCCCCTTCTCTCATGGAAGAAACAAGTTTTGTTTTGTTTTGTTTCAGCTATAGGGCATGTGTGTTCTCCAGGAGAGACAGAGAGACAGAGAGAGAGGGAAAGTGAGAAGTCACTCCTCCCCCCCCAGTGAGGATAACCACTTTGGGCATGCACACACATGCACCTGGCATGATTTTCACTATTTTTTTGGAGAGTTTTTTTTTTTTTTTTGGTATAGGGCACGTGCGCTCACCAGACAGACAGAGAGAGACAGAGAGACAGCAAGAAATCACCCCAGGGGGGATGGCCACGCCGCAATCCTTTCTCCTCCATTCTCCTCTCGGGATCTTGGGCACGCACGCACACGCACCCGGCGTGAGTCTTAAGCCACCGGGTCTGGGACACGAACCACCGTCGACTACGTGGGAGTCCAGCAACATAGCCATTATGCTAACTGTTGGTTCCCCGCACCCGGCATGATTTTTAAGCTGCCAGGTCCACACTCGAACCTCAGGGTTAGCCACATTGGACCTAACACTTTAACTACCATGTGGCCAGCTGGACCCAGTAAGTAAGCTTTTTTACATGCCATGTTTTGGGGTCTGTGCTAAGCCGTATGCCTTGCAGGAGAGCTTGTGAGTGGCTCCGGCTGTCCTATGCAGGAAGTACCATTCCTGTCCCCATTGGATGAGGACAGTGAGGCTCAGAAAGATAGCTTAAGCTGCTCAGGCAGGAAACATTAGTGGTGTGATTCAAGCTCAGTCCTGGTGGTCCTAGGATCCATGCTTCCATGTGTTTGTTGACTGACCAGTTGATGGTAGGGACAGCAGTGCTGCGTGGTGGAGAGGGCGTGTCTGTGCTCCAGAAACCCAGTTTGTGCCATGATAGACTTGGGGCCGAGTTGCTCAGGGTCCCAGTCCCGTTACTGGCCTCCTGAGGCAGGGCCGGAGCCCATCGCTACAGCAGCCGCGTGTGGCGTTTTACTCTCAGATCCCTCTAGGTGACAGGGCTGGAGACAGGCTCAGAGAGGGCAGAGCCCTGTGGAGTCATGCACAGCCGGACACCATGTGTGGATTCAGACGGGACGCATGGCTTTGGTGGCTTTGAAGCTGGGTGAGCCCTTGGCTCCCATTGGGATGGGTGAGGTGAGAGGCCCAGGACCCATATTTGGAGAGCACCTCAGGCCTCACCTGGGCCTGGCTGTTCTATTCACTATCTCCCTAATCCTCAGCCTTTGTAATGATGAGGTGGGGAGTGTCCACTGTTTCTCAAGAAATGGAGACTGGGGAGAGTCCCCAGGCTGAGGAGAGGTGGGGGCCAGTGTGTCTTAGAGCCAGGAGGCCTGGGGCAGCTGCTGCAGACCCTTCCAGCCAGGCACCCCAGCCGAACCCTGGGCATTCCGGCATCCCGGCCCTCTCTGGGTGCACCAGCCCCACCCTTTGCCCCCTGGCTTTGTTGGCCAACTCAGGTTTCTGCTCTCCAGGTGTCACCCTGGGAACAAGGTGTGGCTAGCAGGAGGGGGCTGGAGTGAGGGGGCGGCTGAGTGGGGAGTGGGTTCCCCACCAGCCAGGAGTGGGGGCCTGGGCGCCAGTAGCCATGAGATACCCTCCCAGGGAATGTGGTCCGGCGACCCCGCCCTCCCAGAGCAGCCTTGCAGGCGGGGAGGACAGACACCCAGCAAACCGGTTGTTCTGCTCCTGGCCGGCCACCCACCCTCCCACCGTTACAAGGTTGGCACCTGGGAGCCGGCCAGCCTGGGGTGGCCACACCTCACTGCCAGAGCCCAAGCTGTCTGGAAGCCCAAAGCAGTCCTACTACTGGTTATTGGCTGGCCAGGTAACTAGCTATGTAGGTGACTCACTGGTTAAATAGTTAACGAGGTAAGCCACTCAGCAACCAACTCTCTGGCTCAGTTAGCTAGTTTAGGTGGTTAACTCTCAGGCCAGTTAGGTTAGCTGATTCTAGTTTAGGTGGTTAATGCTTCATCCAGTTTAGCTTACTGACTCTAGGTTAGGTGGTTAGCTCTTGGGCTGGATTAGCCGAGTGGCTAAACTCCCTCTGGACCGTAAGTACCGCTTGTCCCCCAGCCCTCCGTGAATGTCCGGTTCTTAGACCATCATGGAGTCCTGAATCCAGCAGGCCTGTGAGCTTGGACGCACATGCATGTGCACACACACACAGATTTCACAAGGGAACTTCAAGATGTTTATGGAAAAAAATGAAATTAAATTGTGAGTTTACTTCGGTTCTAAAAAGTTTGCAAACCAGGCACAATTTTTTCATAATACGCATTTTCCATGAGTTTTTAGAAGTCCTCTCATACACCTTCAGCCTGGTGTGTGAAGTTTGTCTGTTGATTGGAGGAGTGTAACATTTTGAGGCACCTTCGAGGAGTGTACCATGAAACACAGTCATGCAGACGGAAGTGTCTCTTCTCAGTAGAAACCACAGACACGTTCCTAGTGCTTCTCCGTTGCTGCAGCTGCCGCAAGCACCCTCCAAGAGATGGTCTGTGGGATTCAAGTGAATGCATAAAGAAGTCCCTCCTCCTGGGGCTGGCAGGTGGTGTGGTGGTTGTGGTGTGGAGTCCCACATGGCCGACCGTGGTTAGAGTCCTGGACTTGAAAGTCACACCGGGTGCGTGTGCGTGCATGTCCAAAATCCCAGGAGAAGAATGGAGGAAAGGGATTGTGGCATGGCCAGCTCCCCTGGAGGATGATTTCTCACTTTCTGTCTCACTCTGGCGAGCACGAGTACTCTAGAGCAAAAACCTAAAAACAAAACAAAACAAAACAAAACCTCTTCCTCGCTTTTCAATGCAAAAGATAGCTTTTTATCCACAGTCCTCTGCTTCTTTCCTTTCTCTTGATGGCATTTGGGGGCAGTCCCTTAGCTGTCCCCTGACAGCTCCATAGAAATACACCATTGGAACGTGTATTGTGGTTGCTTCCAGTCTTTCAGAGTGCTCTGACGGAGGACCGTGCACACGGTCATCTTAGGTATGAGTCTAGGTAGCCACAGGCTACACCCAAAGCTCACTAGCTGCTAAGGCCACATTCCCTCTTAGGGTGACTCCTCATGCATACAGAGCCTTGTATAGCCTGTGAAGATTCTTTTCTACCATCAGCCAGAAAATACTCATAGCCAGTAATCACGTCTACGTTGTGGTGTGGACAGACCACATGCCGGTCCTCTTGTGCAGTGCCCGCCCTGCCCAGCTGTACCTAGCAGCCCTGTGACGCCTTCCAGGCTGTGGGCTGCCAGTTAGATCCTCTCCCTGCTCCCGCATTGCAGACGTACTCCGGCCTTTTCTGTGTGGTCATCAACCCCTACAAGCAGCTTCCCATCTACACGGAGGCCATTGTGGAGATGTACCGAGGCAAGAAGCGCCATGAGGTGCCACCGCACGTGTATGCTGTGACAGAGGGGGCCTACCGAAGCATGCTCCAGGGTGAGTGTGGACTGGGGCCTGAGGCAGCTCTGCAGGGGGGTTGGGGTAGGGCTGTGGGGGCTGCCAGTAGATGGGGTCAGGGTCAGATGACAGGTTGGGGATTTCAGACTCTAAGGCTTCTTGGGGGCCGGAGTGGGCACAATGGAGGGTGAGGGGCGAGGCTCTGGGTCTCACCACACGAGTCCCTTGTGTCTCTTGTGTTTGTTTGTGTTCGTACTTTCTCTCAACGGTATTGTTTGGGAGCCGATTGGTACCAGGCTTCTGCAAAAATGGCCCCTCACACAGTAATTCCTAGAGCGTTCATTAACTCAACATTTATTGTTGAAATGTAGCATGATCTACAGTGCCATGGGGTGAAATGCAGTCCTGTAGACAGGCAGCCACACAGCCAGCTGTCACAGTTCTTCAGGCTGTGCGCTGCATGAGCATCATGTAAGAGGTGGCCGTTCACCCTAGGGCAGTGTAGACTGGTCCTAGCAAAACTATAAGATTAATGTATATAAATAACATACATGATGTGCTTGTCATATACTTTTTATATTCTATTTCAGTAAATGTATACTAAATGTACATTAAACATTAAAAATTATGTCTGTTCATGGGGTCGGCAGGTGGTGTGGTGGTTAAGGGCACTGGACTCCCACATGGCCGACTATGATTTGAATGCTGGACCCGGTGGCATGCTTTCTCACTTTTCCTCTCTCTCTCTCTCTCTCTCTCTCTTGCTTTGTCCCTCTCTGGTCAAATTAAAATAAAAAAATAAAGTTAAATAAAATAATAAAAAAATTATATTTGTTTATATTAGGACACCTAATACAGCAGCGTATTTATATTGAACATGTTATACTTAACGTATGTTATATTTCTATTGTGTATTATAAAATAATAATATATTGAGCCAGTCTCATAATCTGGAGGTCAAGGCAGCTAAATTACTCATGGCCAACTGGGATTCAAATCCTAGCCCCTGTGGCTTAAAAAATACACTTCCACATGTGTGTGCATGCATGGCCAAAATCCCAAAAGGAGGTGAGAGAGAGAACGGGTTGCAGTGTGACCGTTCCCCATGGGGGTGTTTTCTCCCGGTCTCCATAGCTCTTTGGCGAGTGCACATATCCTAAGGCAACGTATTTATTTATTTATGTAGTATTTGTTTATGTCTATAAATAATTTATATAGTATTTCTAGACTTAAGGAAATACTGTATTTATATTGTGTGATGCAATGGTGACATGTAAGAGAACGTACTTCTAGACAGTGCGTCTGTATCTGCATCGTAGGCTTGCGTACAGTAGTAGGTAACCATTGATTTGGTGCTATAATAGGCTTTGTTGTACATGTATTTGTATGATTTGTAGCTATTGTCATATGCCACCTATAATTTTTTTAAAGAATTTTTATTTATTTATTTATTTATTTATTTTTGGAGAGGTTTTCGCTATAGGGCACGTGCGCTCGCCAGACAGACAGAGAGACAGAGAGACAGAAAGCGAGAAATCACCCCCCAGGTGGGATGGCCACGCCGCAATCCCTTCTCCTCCATTCTCCTCTCTGGATCTTGGGCATGCACGCACATGCGCCCGGCGTGAGTTTTAAGCCACCGGGTCCCGGACACGAACCGCGGTGGACTACGTGGGAGTCCAGCGACATAGCCATTACACTAACTGCTGGTTCCCGAAAATTTTTATTTATTTAACTTTCTTTATTCATTCATTTATTTTGAAAAATTTGACCAGAGAGAGAGAGAGAAGGTGAGAAAGCAAGCCACCGGGTCCAGGACTCAAACCATGGTCAGCCATGTTGGAGTGTCCAGCACCTTAACATCTGCACCATCTGCTGGTCCCCTGCCACCTATAATTATATCTCAAGAACAAATATGCAGTAAAGTCGGGGTGACTCCTCCTCCATGCCAGGCACTTTTCCTAGATTTGTTTCTTTTTTTTCTTTGGAGAGGTTTTTGCTATAGGGCACATGCACTTCCCAGAAAGACAGAGGAGACAGAGAGACAGAAAGCGAGAAGTCACCCTCCCAGGGGAGATGGCCATGCCACAGTCCCTTCTCCTCCATTCTCCTCTTGGGATCTTGGGCACACATGCACACATGCCTGGCATGAGTTTAAGCCAGGTCCAGGATTCAAACTATGGTTGACTACATGGGAGTCCAGCAACATAGCCATTACACCAACTGCTGGTCCCCTAGATTTATTTCTCTTGAGATCTTTTCTTTGACCCACGTACACAGGATCTTCAAAAAGTTCGTGGAAAATACATATCATAAAAAAATTGTGGGGGCCAGCAGGTGGCATGGTGGTTAAGGTGCTAGACTCCCACATTGCCAATTGTGGTTTGAATCCTCGACTCACTGCCTTGAAAAACCGCACTGGGGGGCCAGCAGTTAGTGTAATGGCTGTGTCG